GGAGCAGAGCGGCGCCGCCCCCGGGTCGGGGGGGCCGGGGGCCGGGCCGCGGCCTCCCCGCCCGCCGCGCGGTATCCCCGTGCCGGCGCCTTCACGGCCGCTCTCCCCGCAGGACCCGTGTGCTCCCCCTCGGGCTACAAGAAGGCGGATGATGAGATGTCCGGAGCCACGTCCTCGGCGGATCTGGACGAGGCGCCAGCCCGCACCATTTACGTGAACCAGCCCCAGCAGAGCAAGTTCCGCGACAACCAGGTCAGGTAGGGAGCCCGCGTCCTCCCCGCTCCCCCTGCCCGGCGGCGGCGCCGGCTCCGGGCGCTCCCGCTGCCCGCCTTGTCCCTGCCCGGGCGGGCTCGGAAGGTGAGTTCAGCCGCGGGTCGGTGGCCGGTGCAGCCCGCGGCCTCGCGAGGGGGGATGGCGGCAGCCGGGGCTGCGCGGTGGGATCTGCAGCAGCGTGGGAGCCATGAGGGCACCGGGAGGGACCGCGGGCTGCCAGGCTTCGGGATAGGGGACCGAGGCCGGTCTCCTGGGCACGGTGTTAAATGTAGGATGCAACGMAGACAGAATTGGGTGTCCAGGTGCCCTGGGTGCTTTCTCTTGAAGGGTAGCAGCTCCCACACTRACAGTAGTGTACGGAGCGCTGACGGGAGCAGAACAACCCCGACGTTGGCACCTCACATCCCGGCGCACCAAGGCAGCGCTCGACTCGCTCCGTTTAACTGAGGACAAGGGGGGCTTTTCTTTTGCGCCTGCATCAGAGGGAGTGCGCGCCCGTATGTGTGAGATACTGGTGTAATTAACGCCACGTTGTTGCAGTCGGGCAACCCGAACCACGTGCGCCGTAACAGCRAGCAGCAGGTAGACGGCATCGGTGGTGGCTGTGGTTAGCCGGGCGAAGAGATGCTGCCCGTCCTGCCTAGGGAAAGGTGCTGTGCGGCAGGGCTGCGCTTTGTTAGCACAGGTGCTCGGCTCACCTGAAAGGACAGTTTATACAGGAAGGGTCTTTATGGAGGGAAGGGAGCTCAGTCTTTCCCAAATGACACTTTTCACTAGCTGTTCGATGCTGTATTACCAAGGATGACTTCAAGAGTATCCACAGAAAGAATGCCGGTGCTGAGGGTACTGCAGTGACTGGTGTATACTGTGTTTTTTTCTCCACAACTTTGACTTATTCTGTACTTGTCTACAAAAATCTGTGACTTAGGAGCAGTTATAAGGCATGGGTTTTCATAGCAAATGCAACTGTTTTTCTTCTCCTTCTCTGAACRTGTTTGTGGGCTGCAAAATCAGCTGCTTCGTGAGCTGTACATATATATAGAATATGTATGTGTATATATGTGTGTGAATATATATATATATCTCCCCTCTTTGATAAAAATGAGTTGTGTTTGGCAGGTCTCTAGGAACGTAGCACTCCCACTGTTGCCGCTTTTCAGAAAGAAACACCAGGATGAAGGTTGGCAAAGCTGTAGCATCATCTTCCCAAAGGAATTCTGCTCTCTGGCTTGAGACGGCATGAAAATAGTAGTATCTGGAGTTTTGCCACCAGGAATCCTTCCCGACAGCCCTGCTGCCAACCCCTGAACAAGCTGCTGTGTCCAGCTCGCTGTCTGAGAGCCATCCAGTGGTAGATGTGAAGCTGCGGCTGTGTGTGGATTTGGTTTTGTTTTTTCAGTAGATTTAGCACCTGAATTCATGCGGTTTGGGCCTCTCTGCTCTGGCATGAGGGGACCTTCCTGGATCACGAGGAATATCCTTGTAATAGGGATGGGACAGAAGGGATGGGGGTAGTTTTATGGTGGTAAAGGAAAAGTCACTTTCTACTGTTTGAGGAATCTGGACTCCCTGGTTTTATTGGGGTTTAGGGTTGCTAGGCAGGTTCATCATGAGCTTCTGCTTGGTAAGATAGGTCTGAACTCTGTTCCCCACCACTTGTAAAAGAGCTTTGCAAAAGGCTCTTTAAACAATGTTTCAGGACAGGCTTACTGTTAACAAAACTTGATTCCTAAGCTTGAGAGCGAAAGGAAAGAGTGATACATCAGCTTTAAGGACAATTATGCAGTACAGTTTCTGAATGGTGTGCACTCCTGGATGCAGACATGAGGTGCCCAAAGTTATTAAAGTGAAAAACATGAGGATGTTAAGGGAAAACTACTTTCTAGCCTTCTTTGTCTCCCTAGATGACTTTTTGTGTGTGTGTGTGTGTGTGTGTGTGTGTGTGTGTGTGTGTAAGTAAATGAGAGTGAAGTGCAAGAGTTTATAGATTTATCAAAGAAGGAACATATATATGTGTACATATATGCACATACATATATATGTATTCTTGGTATATATACAGCTCAAGAAGCAGTTGATTTAGCAGATCTAGAATGTATAGAGTAGCCAAATACTTTATTGCTACATTTCATTTTTTAGAGCAAAGTAATTCAGAACTCAGTGCAATGAACTTTCCTGTGTTTTGTAAGCCAATTTAGTTTGCTCCTCTGCTTGTGTGGACATGGCTCTCACCACTTTCATTTGTGCTGCAGCAGTAGTGATTTTTTTTGCAGGAACAATAAAAAAAAATCAGCATTAGAAGCTGTTTTTATCTTGTATGGGGTTTGAAAAAGTATATGTGTGTCACTCCTGATCACCATGACCTTGAAAAGTCAAAGGTAAGTTTGTTGGTTGGTTAAATCATTCATCTTTATTACTCAGGGTGGTCTTATGTGTACTGAAAAGAGGTGTATGTATGTTTTCTTAATTTGMAAATAACCTTCCTAGTGCCCTCTAAAAGCACAGGGATACAGAAGGGGCTGGATGGTAGCAGTTTGAATGCAGTAGCAGTACTTCCRAGATCGCCAGACTAGTGGAATGGATGTTGTTCCTAATATATATCCCGCAGCATATGGAAGACTGGTTTRCTTTGCTTCCACAGGGCTGGCCTTGGTATAAATATGTTTTTACAATATCCCTTATTAATATAGGAATAACCTGACTTATTGATTCTCTAGTGACTTATACTGAGAACACAGTCTAACCCTATACTAGAAAGTTAGAGTCATTATGGTTGTGAAAGACCTTCAAGATCATTGTGTTCAACCGTAAAGCTCTCCTAGTATGTACTGTAAATAACAAGAGTTAAGAGATTTGAGTYCCTCGGCTGCTGCCTGTGTGTTTTATGTTGGAATGAAAACAGCTGGAAGTTCTCCTGTGGATCTCATATCCAAAAATCTCCCTGAAAATTTTCTGGYAAGAGCAGAACTTAGTGCCTTGATGTTAGGGGAGGGGAGGTTCCCAGAGACTGATTGTGGTATCTAGAAAACCTTGTGCTTGAAGACCTGCCTGCCTCCCATACAGGCTTGAAAAGATGGTAGACAAGAATCAATCATTTTATTCTCTGGTCAGCTGTACAGGGACTTAAAACTCGAGCGGACGTGTGAGATGACTCACTAACAGCAGAAGCACCAGCACAAGGGATTCAACACTGAAACCTGCAAGGAACCTTCTAGGAGAGCTGTAGGCCCCGTCTTAAACCAGCTGCTGTCCCAGTCTTCTCTTTTCTTCTATTTCAGACGCAGTGGCCACTTGTAGAGGTGTTTGTTTTACTTCTGGCAGTCTCTCCCGTTGTCATGTGAACAGCTTGTGTGCTGCAGAAAATCCGGGTGGATTTTTCCAAGCAGCAGCATATTACCATACTCTGAGTGGTACCAGTGGCAAAAATGAAACTACACATTAAACAAATTCTCTCACGACTTTAAGGTCTGGATAGATATTTTTAACTGAAAAGGAAAATTGCACCAGGGATTTGGAATTGCTGTCTTGTTGCTGTTAGGGACCAGCTGCATGTCCAGAGCCCTGGGCAGGTTTAGGAATAGTGGAGTTTTGCCTGGAGAAAACATCTGGATGTCCRGGATGGGTGCATGGGCAGATGCCAGAAGCTCTAGTGCTCTCCACTTGCTGCCTGCTGAGCACCTTGGCATCCTCAGATTGTTTATTCTCGGCACTGTGCTGGATTTCTTGTATCAGCAGTAGCAAAACAGCAGGAGGGTTAAAATGGGTCTCTCATCCCCCTTCAGATAGCTCAGTATGTAGGAGACCTTCAGACACTGGACCCAGAGCTTCAGTGCAAGCTGACTTCGTACCAGCAAAGCAGCTTTCCCAGAAATTTGTTGAATAAATGTTGGCCTTTGTTCCGCAATATGTAGTCATTTATGACTGCATTTCTACTTACTTTTCCACTGTTAGTGCTGTGTGCACAGGAAGAGACCGGATTTTCAGGGATTTCTGCTTTGTGTGTGGCTTCCTCTCCATGAGGCTGGATTCTGAGGAGGTGCGTCTTTTGGGACTGCCGTGGGTGGCACGTGCCACCTGTGTATTTGTAGGTACTTGTATGTAATTTACATGCAATTATGTGTGTCATTTATATGTAAATGTGTTTTCTGAAGTCTCACAGTGACTGCTGCTGAGTGTGGCAGCCCTCGCTAGGGACTCCTGTCACAGGATTTGGATCCACACGTCAAACGCTTAAAAGGCCGGTTAGCGATTGCTGCRGGACTCCTGTCTGTGCAAAGGGGTGGTGGGGAAGAAGTGCTTGATGTTGACAGAAATACAGTGCTCCAGGACTACAGCAACTGTTACATAATCTCTGTGGACTGCAAAGGTTTTGAAAGAATTTTGAGTATTTACCCTCCTCTGCCCCCTGCCTAACATGAGAACAGTGGCTGCCTTAACTGGTYGTGGGGACTTGGAACTAAAGAATAAAGCTAAAGGTGCCCCTGTGACTTCTAGAGAGCCTGTAATTTGTATCTGGCTAGTCCTCGTTAATGAGACTCGATTAAATATTTTTCAGTCATCTTCCCAGCAATACATTCAGTGTGAATTTGTGAATTGTGCGAATTGTGAATTTGTGAATTGTGCGAATTGTGAATTTGGAGTGAATTTGTGCTTGCGCTGGAGCTACGTGTTGTTCAACCCCCTTTCCTGGGCAGCAGCCTTTCTAGGTGAGCTGTTGCAGCTGGCTCTGTTTTATTGAGCTCTGCAGTCAGCAGGGCCATGGGAAGCGAGGACACGTTTGCGCTCTGGTGACCTGGCCGTATCGGAGGGCACTGACACGATACGAAGCCTCCAGGCTGGCAGCCCTGCTTCCCAAGCACACTTGGGTCAGTGGGGTTGGGAGGGGAGGAATAGCCAGCAGTGAGTTCCCCTCTCTGCAGGGATTGCATGAGCAGAGAATGAATGGAAAGGGCTTTTCTGCTGGCGTGCGCTAGGAAAGGCCTCC